GTTCAAACTTAAAATAAAATTTTCTCCGTCGAGAAACTCTTCGAGGAAAAATTATTCAATCAGGACATCAGACATAAATTGGGTCCGAAGTTTAGTGAATATGTGTCACATGGTAAGTGAGTCTCATCTTTTTAAAAGAACATACCAACCAATGTATTACAGCGGGACCCACTTGTCACGTTGCAAGTACTCACTGGACTCCGGAATTAAATTTATGATGTCCTGATGGAATAATCTATTTCTTTTTCAGGCAGTTGCAGTTATTGAAGAAGCAGCTGTAAAACTGTTAAAGTAGCAGCTATTGTTCAAAAAGCTGCGGTCGCTATTACAAAATTTTTTTTTTGAAATGTCAGACAGTAGCTTTCTAGCAGACACCGCAGGTAGCCGAGTATGAGTGAAAAAACAGTTTTTAGCTACAATTTTTTTTGACAGTTTTGTCAAATAGAAAAAACTATGGTACGGTACCACACGACCATCGCACCGCCATCCAAACGCACCCTGAATTGTATTTATTACGTGGTAAATAATTATCGAATACTCATAAAACTTAAACTTTAATTTGGTTGGAATATTCAGCACACATACATAAAATAAAGTGATAAGAATTAATAAGATTTTTATATAAAAACTTGAAAATGAAAAAAAAAAAAATCTGAGGGTTGACTATAATTATCGACTAGGTATTTAAAACTATAAAGTATTTGACTTCTCAAGAAAAGATAAGGTTATATAAATACAAACAATCATTCACTAACATTAATCATATTATAATGCTTAGGCAACAACGACCAAGAGACAATGAATATGATATAACATTCGTATGATTATAATTAGGCAACAATTACTAGTAGTCATTAGCTTTTAATTGTCTTATTATGTTTGTCTCATTGTGACTTTGAATTTGACTATATGTAGATTATAGAGATTTTATGTTTAGAAGTTTTAATTTAAGATATGTATTAAGGTTAGTGCATGATGAAAGGGATTAAAGCTCGTGCCAACTATGTCATGGCACTCGGGAATTTATTTTTGTTTTATTTTTGCTTTTGTCGTCCTGACAAATTATCTATCTCTTCAACAACTTCAATGGTTACACCAAGTAACATGTTGTTAGGTAATTCATAGCAATCATAAATGGTGTATTTTTTAGTTTAAAAGGTACTTATTATGTCTGACTAAATAATACAATATTTTCCAAAGATAAATGCATGGATGTAATATTCATTACACATAGATAAGAGGCTGATTTTATCAATATCAGTTAGATCTTATGAATGATATTATTTCACAAGATTTAAAAAAGAAAATTCATTATAATATGATAGGCATGACTACAATTAGGGCTGTCAAAACGGCTTGTTGTTCGCGAAAGGCTCTTTGTTCGGCTTGTTAAGAAGCTTGTGTTCAGCTAGTTCGCTAAGTTAACAAGCCGAACACGAACAACACGAAGCAATATTTGTTCGTTCGTGTTCGGCTTGTTTTGGCTCGAAATACTACTAATCAATTATATTTATAACTTTGATTAGTAGTATTTTTTAAAAATTTAATTGATTACAAGGCTACAAAGATTTATAATCAATTAAAAGTATTAATGAAAAAAATAGAATAAAAATTATTAAATTAGATTCAAATGATATTTTAAATTTCGCCCCAATCATTAACATCTTATGGCTACGTGATTAGGGTTGTCAAAATGACTCTTTGTTCGTGAACGGCTCGTGTTCGGCTCGCTAAGCAAATGAGCTGAACACAAACACACTTTTTTAGCTCGAAATATAAACGAGCTGAACACAAGCTGATCCTGGGCTCGCTCGTGTTCGGCTCGTTTACACCCCTAACTACAATGATATCTCTGATAATTGTTGGGATTTAGGCAACACAAAAAAAGGAGGCGAATACTCATGGCTTGCTTACATGAAACGTTTATCATTTTCATGCACTGAGAGATGATTAATGATAAATGTTCAAATTTAAGCAACAATATCTAATAAATTTTATCCTGCTCAAAGCATGACAAGAGATCATATAATCAGAGGGGAAGGAAGATTAATAAGGGATGGCAAACATTGACATGCATTAGACAAGATTAATTGAGGAATATTAAAAATTGAGTAATAAGCCTATTTGAGTCAGTTCTAATCAGTAGCTTGTAACCTATGCAAACTCACTAATATATTAATTGAATTATTTTAGAGACTTACCAAACAAACATCGAGGTATATCTCTCACTCATACCTCATATTGTTAGAAAAAAAGCAATTAATATCACCCTTCTCCTAATGCGAACCATAACCAAACCACACCCCTTTCTACAAAGCAAAGAGTTAGAAGCCTATTCCTTTCGTTTCATTAATTATAAAGGCTATTATGTAGTCACATAACTTCGTAGAATAGCATTGCTTGAAATATGCTTAAGATCTCTTTCAAGAAAGCTAAGTCTTCCATGACTAGAAATAAATAATATGTACTTTTTCAATAAGGATAAAAAAAGTGAAAATTACATACATACTACACAATTCATAGGTATTTAGATGCCAAACACCCAAAGTTTGATATTTACATTTATCACGTATTGGTGTCATAAGTTTATGGATGAAAATGTAAATGTCACTGTTAAAATGATAGTGATTGTGGTGTTTTTGATGTGATGTTAAAGAATTGAATGGTATGTATGTAAATATAAATGTCAATGTGTAAGATTTGTAAATACATCAAAATACTGTGATATATATATATATATATATATATATATATATATATATATATATATATATATAGTGTGTGTGTTGTGTGTGTGTGTGTGGAAATTTGCATACATACCACACAATTTCTATATATTGATATACATAACACTTAAGACTTACATACTTACATGTATAACACTCAAATCTTTAATATTACAAGTTAAATGTGATTATTTGGAAAAAAAAAAAAGGAAACTAAAACCAAATTCTTCCGAAAAGAGCTCCCCATCTAGGAGTCAAGAGTCGGCAATCAACTAAAACAACCGATGGATAACGTCTAGCCGACCGAGCTGATTCTGACTAAAGAGAATTTCAAGCCATAAGTATTAATTTCTCTTTCTTCATCTATTATTACATTATATATATACACCACATCCA